CACAGCGAGCAGAAGTATGTAATAAAATAATTAAGGACAAGTTGACCAGAACTTCACGTTTAGCTGATGTTGTTGAAAAAATTCAAAAAGTTTTCAATAATCAATAAAAAAAAGCAATTTTAAGTGAATATAAAAACGAAATTCCAACAAGAGGGATGCCAAGTATAAGTGATAAATACTTTCCCGGACTAGATACAATTTTAAAAGAGTATTTAACACCACAAATTCTTCAAAAGCAGCATGATCAAATAGCTCAGTTGCTATGCTATGATGTGTTTTTAATTAATGACTGGCAATCACTACTGGAGGTAAGGTTTATTAAATCAGTTAAGAAAATTATAGTGTAACAAAAAGTAACCAACATATCATTAATGAACTTCCCTTTGGTATAGATGACAGACGATTCTTATCAACAAAATATAGCCAGAGAAGATGATTATGACCAACCACAATTACTATTTTCATCATTGCTAGAAAAAATACCTAGTGATTCTGTTAAAGAAGTGTGGAAAGCAATTAGACATAGCATACAAAACTCAGAACCACAACATATAATTCTCCTTAATGACGGCTCACATTTGTGCACTTGCCTTTTGCTAATTAACAAAGAAATAGTGTGCCGGCACTTTTTTCGCATTATGTTTTACTTAACTAATGTATATTTTCATATTTCATTAATTCCTCGGCGCTGGTATAATAACTGCAAATATAATACTAGTCAAGAGAATATACCAACTTACCATTTCGCTGGAAAAGAATCGGAACTACCTTTACTCCAACCCTTAACGTTTTAACATTTGGTAGGATTTAATCAAACACATAATGATGAACAGCTACAAGGATCTAAACAAAAGTATGGATTCGGAATGGGTTATGCCAAAAAAGCTTTTGATCTTGCAATTCAGGCTAACAGAGTTGAGGAATTTGTTAGTCACCTGAAAGATTTTATTGAAGACGCAAAAAATGATTTGTTCAGTACACAAGACAATGCTAGTTTCTTAAGCATTAGAGATCCTTTACACGTACTACATAAAGGTCGACAGCCAAATAGATATAAATCCGGTGGTGAACCTTCAAGAAAAGCTCGACGTATTGTTCAAGGTACTGATCAAAGCAACGAAGACGAAATCCGAAAGGTAACTAAAGCTTCGAATAATAAAGATTTAGAAAAAAAAGTTAGAAGGTGTCATAAATGCAAACAAGTTGGTCATTATGCACCAACATGTCCAAATGTCGATGGATAAAAAAATATGGGGTAAATATATTACATGAAATACAGTATACTTACTACTATATAGAATTTTTGCAACGATATGTAGATCTGCTTCGCTGTGGCGTAGCCACGGCATATACAGTATTATAGAGTTAAAAGTTATTTTTTTTTATATATAAAGCTATAAAGCTATATTAGTAAATCAAATAAATAAATAAATAAACAAAATAGAATATTATATAACATACTAGATGATATTACCCTAGGTGAAAAATAGTTATAAACAATATTAAAATATTTAAAAAAAATATAGACACTTACTAAATTTTTCAAACCTCTAAAAATAAAATTAAATAATATATTAATTATACAAGTACTGTATATAATTTAAAAATAATATCATATGATTATAAAGAGATATAAATTTAGGTAAATAAATAAAAGCTAAAATTAATTATTAAGTTTTTGAATTATAAGCTAAGTTCTTAGATGTGGAATTATTTTTGTTACCTTCTATATATCTTTGCTTAATAATACTATAGCTTATCAAGATATCTTGTTTAGATATCTGCTTATTATCTTTTTTAACTCTATTTCAGAAAACAAAATATTTAGTGAATAAACTTTATATTTGATAGTAGCTAAATAAAGTTTTGTTTTTATAAAATATAGCATATATAAAGTTTTCATAATTTAGTTTTTTTTGTAAAAAATTTGGTATAAGAAATTGTCAAGAATAATCAAAGTAACTATCACTAAGATACTTATATATTACAGTTATTCTCCTTTATAATTAGTTACCTTCTATATAATCATACCCTCTTTATAAGCACTATTTTTTAAAAATTAATAACAATATATTTATTAAAAAAAGCTTTATATAATTAAAATTTTATAATTACATCTTTTTTATATAAAACAAACAATATGATTATAGAGAAGAATGACTATATATATGAAAAAAATTCTAAAACTGTACCCTAACCCTAAAAATATCTATGGGTAATAACAATCACTACTAATTATTTGTAGTAAAACTCTCAAGTTTTAATACTAATTTTTAAAAATTTTTAATTTTAAAACTTGTTATTTTAATAAATTTTAACAAATTTTACTGTATTATTATTTTTTTTTTATTAATAAAAAAAAAAATTTAAAATATAGATTTTATTTAAAGTTTAATATTGTAATTATATATAAAATTTTTTTAAAAAATTATATTTTTAATTTAAAAATTTCAAAACAAACTTCTTTAACAGTATAGTATTTTTAGCTAGTAATACTGTAAATCAAATTGATAATAATTAATTATACTGTACAGTAATTATTAAAAAAATCAGTTGAAAGCAACTTTTAAATTAAATCAATCATAATTGATAGTTTCTATTATTAATTTTAATCACTAATAGTTCAACATGCGATAAATAAAAGTATCGCATCTATGCGATGCCTAGAAAACTCCTATAAACTTTATAAAATAACCAAAAACCCGGGCTCGAATTCTTAATTTATACAAATAAGTATATTGCATAATTTACTTTTTAAAAAAATCCGCTCGGACGTAAAAATTAACCCAGCCGGGTTACTAAAAGCCAAAAAATAAACTTTGTCCCTGGAAAAAAAGAACTTTTAAAATAAAAAAATACGAGCATATGTCATAAATACGTATCTTCAGTTTTCATTATGTTATCTGGATAAAAAAAATGGATCTAACTCTAATTTAGCCCTTACCTAATAAAGCCTTATCACGCTTTATTTATATCTTAAAATATTTAAATACGTGTATTCAAATATCGTTACAACATTTATAAATTTGGTAACACACAATTTTCCGACAAGTTAGCTAATCATGACAGGAAATTTTCGGGGGAGAATTGATTGCCGACCACTATTCAGGATTATATTCAGGGGAGAGTATTATGTAAGTTTACGACATTAATCCTACTAGGTCCCTACAGATACCGATCACATCGATCCAAGATCGGTGAATACAAAAATACAGATAATACAGAGTAATACACAGTTAATTAAAATATTTAATTATTAATGTGATTTTATAGAAAATCAAAATCAAACTTAGATTATTGTCAATCAAACTTGATCTTGTTTGTGTTACGCATACACATCATACATATCATGATTTACTTATTCAACAATATTGAGTTGAACAATTCATTTTAAGCTACTAGGAATAAGATAAAGTATAATTTACAATTGGGTAAAAGTTGGATTATGTAATTGCACAACTCTTAAATATCACTGAACCGAGAATTCAATAAACATCTACGCAAACTTACATCATGAACATCTAATTATGTATCTACATATAAAGTCTTGATAATAATAAATGAATGCTTCGGATCGGGTCATATGAACACAACTCTAAAAAAAATGAGTACTAAATAAATTAATATGGAATGTTACAAACTATAAATCTTGTGGAGTTTTAAACAATCCGATTTTACATTCTTTGTTGTAGATAAAAATCAATCATATTTATTCTAGCGCCAAATTTATTATGCGTTTTTCATAATTTCCTATATTAATTCACTAAGAACATTGCCTCCAAAATAAGTTCTCTTTAATTGGTAAGCGAAAGTTCAACTTACATCTCTGCCATTAAAGAAATTGGAAGACATTAGTGTGTAAATTGTATTAACTAATCTCTTGTATTTTCTTGACTATTTGATATTATTACCATTCTTATGCTTTTTCCTCCGTTTTAAGAAAAAAAAAAAGCGCCGACTATATATACTACATATCTCATAAACCAACATTCTGGCAGTTAATACATGACTGACGTTCTCGTCTACGTTACCGACGTTCTCCAAAATATTCACGATGGCAACTTAGAATATTGCAAAAATTTAAGATACCAAGGTCAACCTAATGCAGAAGTAGAACAGTTTAATCAAGTTTTGGGGAAATTGTTGGAACGTCAAATATATTTGGAGAAAGAAGTAGCTTATTATAAATCTTTACTTAATGAAAATGATTCTATAGTCATAATAAATGACAGAGTTTCAACTACTTCTGATGAAGAACCTCCTCAAGTAACAACAAAACCTCCAACAGAAATCTCTATCTCTCCCAACAAATATGATGCACTTCGTAACCATATTATGTCATTTCCGCATAAAACAGCTGACACTTTTGATTCTGAGAGTGATCCTGAAACTCCTCCTGCCTTGGAGCATGACAGACTCTGCCTAGATTGTCTAAATCAATGTACAAATGTCGCTCTAGCTGTTTCTACCGGTGATTTCAAACAACGTATCACTTGTCCTTATGCTTCCGGTCCAATGCAAACATTAAAAGATGCAATGAATCTTATGGCTGATACAATTGATCACGTCTCTGTCGAACTCATTCGTAATGCTCGCGAAGTTGGAGAAGAGGGTAAACTAGGTGTTCAAGCAGAAACTCAAAACATTGAAGGTGATTGGAAGGAAATGATGGTACACTTGAATATGATGGCTAGTAATCATTCTGAACAAGTACGAGATATTGCTGAAGTATGTACCGCAGTAGCTCATGGTGATCTAAGTAAAAAGATAACTGTTGAAGTTAAAGGTGAAACACTTGTATTAAAGAATACTATTAACACTATGGGTATGAAATATGTTGCTAAATCTTTGTTAATTTGTCTTTTAAATTTGCATATGAAATTTACATTTATATTATGTGCTAATTTAATTAATTTTATGTTTATTTAGTTGACCAATTAAATTCTTTTGCCTCGGAAGTTACTCGAGTCGCTCATGAAGTAGGCACTGAGGGTAAACTTGGTGTACAAGCTCAAGTTCAAGGTGTTGGTGGAACGTGGAAACTTTTAACCGATAACGTCAATACTATGGCCGCTAATTTAACTGCTCAAGGTAATTAATTAATTATTACTACTTTATTATTATTATTATTTCATATAAATTGTATTTAATATGTAAATATATTTTTAATTCTTGATCTTTGTATAAACTTTAGTGCGCGATATCGCTGATGTATCGAAGGCTGTCGCACGAGGGGATTTAAGTAAAAAGATTACAGTCGATGTAAAAGGAGAAATCTTAGATCTTAAAAATACGATTAATACTATGGTTGATCAATTACAAACCTTTGCTACAGAAGTAACTCGTGTATCACTAGAAGTAGGTACTGAGGGTAAACTAGGTGGTCAAGCTAATATTAAGAATGTTGGTGGAATATGGAAAGATCTTACGGACAATGTAAATCTCATGGCATCCAATCTAACAGATCAAGTGCGTGATATTGCTACTGTTTGTAAGAGTGTGGCTTGTGGTGATCTTAGCAAGACTATAACTGTTGACGTTAAAGGTGAAATTTTAGAATTAAAGGTTACCATAAATACGATGGTAAGCTTTTTCGTGTAAATTATAATAGATTTATTCTGTATAATTTATCTTGTGAACTGTCATTTCTACAAATTTTGCGAATTATCATAATTTATACTTAACTTGTAACGTTGAAATTACGATAACATTCGCAAAAGTGTGGCAGTGCCAAGAATAGTATGGGCATACCATTTTCTTTATTTTATTATGTAAAAAATCATATGTTAATAATTTAAATCACACAGGTGGAGCAATTACGTATGTTTGCGGCTGAAGTTACGCGAGTCTCTCGAGAAGTGGGAACTGAAGGTATGCTTGGTGGTCAAGCCGAGGTTCAAGGTGTCGATGGTACTTGGAAAATTTTGACTGATAACGTAAATACGATGGCCTCTAATTTAACGGCTCAGGGTAATTCATCAATCATATATCTTACTTTTTGTTTATATAAATTGTATTTGATATAACATTTAATCATATGTGCTTAATTAAAGTGCGCGATATTGCTACTGTTTGTAAGAGTGTTGCCTGCGGTGATCTTAGCAAGAAGATTACTGTTGACGTTAAAGGAGAAATTTTAGATTTAAAAAATACTATAAACACTATGGTTGACCAACTACAAACATTTGCCATTGAAGTAACTCGTGTATCTTTAGAAGTAGGCACGGAAGGAAAATTAGGTGGTCAAGCTGTTGTTAAAGATGTTGGTGGTACATGGAAAGAGCTTACAGATAATGTAAATATAATGGCGGCTAATTTAACTACCCAAGGTAATTTTTGTAATTTTATAACTTTGTAATTTTGTATTAACGTAATTCAACTTGTGCTGAAAATCTAACTAATATTTCTCTAAGTCCGATCAATCGCTGAAGTTACGACTGCAGTAGCAAAAGGAGACCTGAGCAAAAAGATCATTGTAGACGTAAAAGGCGAAATTCTTGATTTGAAAAATACAGTCAATTCCATGGTAGATCAACTACGTATGTTTGCAGCCGAAGTAACTCGTGTTGCACGTGAAGTCGGTACAGAAGGGATTCTAGGTGGTCAAGCGCAAGTTAAGGACGTTGGTGGAACATGGAAAGAACTAACAGATAATGTTAATACGATGGCGAATAACTTAACAGCTCAAGGTATTAATCATTTTATTTTATTTTATTTTATTTTTTTTTATTTTATATTTTTTTA